TTTAAATCTCTACCTCCTCACATTCAGACACTGACGATCTTTCTGGTCCTCCGGAATCATGCACATCAGGTGCTGCCGCCCTACTTCTCATCACCCATGCTTGGGAACTTAACTTCTCCAGTAGGTTTAGGAGAACAGAACACCAAAATCGCACCTAAGAAGAAGTGGGCTTCATCTGAATTTCCGAGTTGATCACACTTGAAGACACTTTCACCGAACTGAATTACGCAGAGCTGGAAGTTAACTAACTTCTCTTCCAGAGTAGTTCCCAGATCTCTTCCTCCAAAACGAAGGGATCAATCACCTAGTTTTGAAATTTGATAGCCCACTTTTTAGAGCTTTAGCAACTTCTACTGATTTTAATTACATGTTTTGCAGTGCAACAAGTAATCTGCACGTATAATACTTCGGCTTCAGGGGTGTTTGCAGTGATGACTTTTACCTAAAGAATATTCAAAAGCCAAAATGTTTTTGTATTCATTCATCTTTCAACTAGATCCTGAAGCCGTATTTTTCAAACTAAAGTTTACGATCCGTTGGCATTAGTGGTCTGTGTCTAGTATCCTAAAAAATAAAACAGAAAATGCCAGCATGCATCACATACCGAAAGTAGGTACTATTTCCTTAAATTCTCGTTCACACGTATACACGCGTGTGAGGGTTACAATGAAGAGTGTATTTCTTCCTTTCGTCAAAGAGCTGGAAAGCCACTGCTGTGAAGGCTTCTGTCTGCCAGTGAATTCACCAGTTGACAATGGCCATTCACTCTTCCAAGAACTGTGGATTAGGCTGCCCAGACCACAACTGGGTATAGCTCAGTCCTTTTATGGAAAAGATTAGAAAAATCAACTAAGTAACTCAAAAAATTCGATGACACCCGTGATTTCAATTGTTGATGGTACATTTTGGCTGTAACTGGTTGCAACAAATTGCTCTACCAAGAACTCCACAAAAAAAGAGAGAAAACATTCACTTCTTCCCCCATTCAACATCCCACCAGAGTCATTACTGCCTTTTAGAAAACTGAAATGGAAGCATCCTACACATACGCTTAAGTTTCAGCCACGATGCATTTAAGATTTAAAACTCAAACACGCATTTGAATGCTTATAAAACAAAGTATGAAATCACCTTTTGTAAAACTTCAATTTCTGAGACATTAAAAAGTCACACTAGAAGTGTCTCATAGAAACAAACAGAACCAACAGATAATTTGTAAACAGAACACTCTAGTAAACAAAAATGACTTACCAGTGCATCTAAACATCATCTTTAACCCATACCAGTCTTTAGTATAAAAGTCAGTGAGTGCTGTACGTAGACTCATATTTAAAAAAAAAAAATTTTAAGAACTTTGTCTTTATACATTAAATACTGCGCTAACAACAAAGAAAGCCACGTAGGGTTCTCAAACCCCACGTTGCAGGCAGGTTACAGGGTGAAGGAGGACCAGGGCGGTCCTCCGTGCCCCAGCAAACTGAGGCAGAGGTCGAGGCCCCGAAGATCAGGTGTGTACAGGGTGAGCCACTAAAGCATCCAAGAGTCAAAACCAGGCAGAAGGTTTCATTCTCATCCACGAATCCACCAACTGCTCAGTATGGCACCGAAGGAGCTGGCATGTGCATGTACGTGTGGGCACACGTGTAATTTTCACATAGTCTCACCTCGACAGCAGGTCTGTTTTTGCACAGAATATATATAAGGCTAAGTAAATACTGAATCTAAGAGATACTTGGAAACATCAGTAAAAATTGCAAATGTCATAATCTATAAGATGTATCATTTTAAAATTACTTAAGTACTGCAGAAGCAATCAAAGATAAGAACTGGCCAAGTCTCCTCACGCAACTTTGTAACTACGGTGCCTAATGCCCTTTGCACGTGGATCCTAAGGTGAGACTAAGCGGAGCATCTGACAGGGCGACCGTGGACGTCCTCCCACCCGGCAAGAACGAAATGGCGGCCCCGGGCCTATCCTCCTGCTCCAGCTCCACGAGCGCGACAAAGGCAAGGCCCGCAGGGCGCCTGTCCTGACCAGAGCCCAAGTGCTCGGCCTCTGTGTGCCACGGCCCGTTTCTGTCGCAGCCTCTCACAGCCGGCCTCCAGAGCATCCAACAGGAGCACCTGCATTTACAAAGTCTGTCCCCCAAGAGGAAGTCTCTGTGTGTAACCAGGGATGCACTGTTGGGAGTGGCTGCAATCATGCGGCGAACAGGGAGGATATATCAACCTGCATTTGTTCCCACAAAAGGGGTCTGAGGCCCCAGGCTCAAAACCGTCCCCCCACGTGAGGTGTGTCCTTGGTCCCAGAGCCATGACGAGGCATCCAGTAGCAGCTGTAGGAATTTATGCTACATTTCACCGCTTACTAATCCAAACCTGGCCTAAGTTTTCCGATGGAAAGAAACTTTCAAATGAACAAAGAATTGATACAGACATTGAAAAGTTTAATATTTGACTCAGAAATTCTCAGACATCTTACAAACACCCAGGAACTTCCTATGGATGTTAAGTTACAAGTGATGTTCTTTTACTGAAAGAACTTTCTTTTCTCTTCTTTCCTTGACCAGGTCTGTTCAAAATATGGATTGCAAGCAAGTTTCAGTAAAAATCAAAGCTTGCAATTAATGTTTAAATAGGTGTGATTATCAGTGAAATTAGGAAATAGCCATCTTCTGTTCATTTGCTCACTATGCAGGTCTCATGCTGAGAGATTCCCAATGCTACACTGGTGGTATTTACTGAGTGTTGTTTAGAATCACAAAATGGTCTTTTATTTTACAACGAAGCTGCATCTTAACAAGCAGAGAAGCTCAGAAGGAAATGCAGAGGTATAAATAAAGGAGAGGTATACTCAATGGAACTGAGGAATATACAGATTA